ATCACAACATCAAAATCACACATCTAATTATTTAATAATTACATAAACATTACATCATTAATTATTTAATTAACCAAAAAAATTACATCTTTATTAATAACAAATTAATTATTAAACAAAACTATTAAATATAAACTAGGCAAACGTGCATTGCACGTTGCTTGCACCTAGTATATATAGATGTATGTGAGAGTGAGAAAGTCTTTATTGGAAATTATTATGGAAAGATTTACAAGATGTTCTCTTTGTGTTTTAATTTTGTGTTTTGAGTTTTGTATTTTGAGTGTCCATTTTGAGATTGTTGAAAATGTGTTCTTTTTGGCATTTTGAAATATTGTTTTGAAAACACCCAAAACGTGTTTTGAAAATTTTGGCTTGATTATAATTGAAAACACCCAAAATGACAAATTTGTCGTTTTGGGTTTTTTTTTTTTATAAATTTTTAATTTTTTTTCAAAAACACGTTTTCTAAGATAGAAAAGAGAACGTGTTTTCACTATTTTGGAAAATCGAAAACAGAAAACGACTTGAAAATGGTAAATAGAACAGACTCTTAGGTTTTATGTTGTCGTGCAACAAGTATATACTGTTTTAATTCAACTTATTATAAAATAAAATAAAAAATTATTTAGACAGGTATATCTATTTTACTAATGTGAATTGGCAATAGATTTCTTAGCTTGTAATGGATGCTCACATCTGGTTCTAATTGTCGTAATTTGATTTAAGCTTCCGTTCAGCTTGATTGAAGAAGTTTGGCTCCGAAAGAACAGATCAACAGATGGTTAAGTTAGCAATCATGTTACTCGTACAATAATTTTTTGCAATTTTGGTTGACAATTATACTTAGCAACATCACATTCATCCGCTTCAAAAATTGTTTTTAAAATTAATGGTCCAGATTTTGACAATATCAATGTTGTCATCCATCATTGTCAACCACAATTGTAAAAATAGATTAATTCTTAAGTTGGGATTTACGATGTCATTTGAAAATGCAAAGCAAAGCTGTTGACCTCAAGAGTGAGGTTGATCCGCAACATCAAATGAATAAGGTATTTTAACGAATAATGTGAGTGGATGGACATCTAGCCGAAGAATCAATTTCCTATCGTATCAGTTCAAGATAGTAAATTGTATTCATCGACGTGAATACAATTTATAAATTAGTTTATAAATTCAATTAAAATCAAACATTAATTTCAAATGTACATTCATAACTACTAATCAAATTTCTTTCAATCCACAATATTCTTTCAAAACTTATGTATTGAACAAGTAAACAAAAAAAAAAAAAGATGTAACTTGTAAGCATGCGAACATTATATAATTATCATACGAGACTAAAACTTTTTCGCACGCCTTTTTGGTCCCCAAATTCCAATGTTGTTCCCTCAACACAGTAAAAGTAACAAGAGTTGTTAATTTTTATCATTATCAAATGATATTATCTTCTTGGAGCCAACAATTTCTTGCATAAGCACGCAACAAAAACCATATTAAAAACCACTAGTTAATTATATTAATATTTCTCTCATTTTTTTTGCTTATTTTTATTTACTAAATCCCATCAGCTTTTCGCCATTTTCAACAGACACGAGATGGCCGCAGGCAGCTTGAAAAGAAACCCCGTGCCTTCTTCTGCACAAAGAAAAAGTAAAAAATAATATAAATGTTTTGCTCACTTTGCTTGTTTAAAAAAGTAACATTTCTAAAGGGTTAAGTTACTTATTAAAGATAGTGTTTTTGGGAGACGACGGTGGAAGGTCATATAGTAAAATATTAATCTTTATTACTTCTTTTAATGATCTTTTTTCTTTGGCAATTCTTGTCAAAATCACACAAAAAGTAATCTTTAAATCTGGAAATGATGTAATGCACTAAGTTTTTTGACCGGGGGGAGGAGGGGTGAAGAGGGCTTACCCTTTTGGTTTGTGCACGGAGGAGCTCCGGCGATATCTTGTATAAATCTTCATCCACCGCCTTGGGCGGTGGTCTTGGTGGTGGTGCTGCCGTGACAGGAGATTTCATGTCACTGTCATAATCACTCACCACTAATGCTGCTTCCTTTTTCCCTTCTTTTTCTTGAGGATAACCTACTTTTGCCTGCATTATTACACACTTCTTACTATACATACAATAACAGAGTCAAATATTCATAAAGACAACTAAAATAAAAAAAAAGAGTTACTTACTCGGCCGCGAGGAACAACAATCATGGCCGGAGTAACAATATCATTCTCATACAAATCACCGGCGACGTACAAATCCCGGTCGTCATCGGAGTAGCTATACCTGAAATCCCCAGCTTGTCTTGCAGATTCAAAGCACTGTGTAAATGGAAGATCATCATTGCAATTCCAGCTACCAAATGCTGGAACATGGCTCCTCCTAAAGTAAAATTCCTACACATCATCAAGAAAAATAAACAAGTTCAAAATCTAAGTCATATTTTTACTGCAAATTTCTTCAAAACGAGACCTTACACTTACATCCATTCTTCGTCAATGAAGAATGTTCAAGAAACCAGGTAAAATATGAGATTGACTTGTGAGAGAGAGGTGTAGGGAATTTGAAATCAACTTTTGTTCTATCTATCAGTTGTCGCTTTCCAATACGTGGGCATTTAAAGAGGAATGGGAGAAAATTCTATCAGAAAAAACGAAGTGGTGTCTTTTCTTTGTTTCTTCAGTGGATTAAAAAAGTAATAAAAGGACTAAAGAGTGGGGTAGGGGTACATATCGTCCCTTGTACTGCAGTGTACAGAAGCAAAAAGGAAGAAAGCAACAAGCCCAGATATCTAAGTTTTAACAGTAGCAGACAAATGGACAAACAGGTAAGGTGGGAGGATAGGGGGTAAGGACAAAAGAGGTGTTCTTTGCTTTACCTTTACTTTATCTGGTGGAAATTTGTAGATCAATTTTACCAGAAGGGATTCATTGCTTTGCCTCTTAAGTGTATATTCCAACGTCATTGTCACGTTTATACACAGAAGAAATGGAGATGATATGAGATACCCTATGAACTTCATGACAAATATTAGAGACATTTCTCATTCATATTTGAAAAGTCACAATAACATTCTCTATTTCTAATTTTCATACCGATAGTTTAGGTATATCAATCTCATTTTATAAGATGTCTCAAAAAGTGGCCGATGATGCATATGATAATTGCATGATTGGCAAATCTTTCATTTTTTAAGTGTTAAAAGTTGTGAATATTCGTAGAAGTAACAGATAAATTATGAGTCTTATAAAATATATGGATAAAGAATGTAACTTTGTTGGACATGCCCTGAGTACGAGGAATAGTGCCCACTTAAACATGAATTTTGATGGGGAAGATTGCAAACATCATCCCAAATGTTTATCCATTTTTACACTTTTGTCTCCAATCTTCATTTCTTGACAAAACCATCCCCAACCTTTGATTTCCAACCATTCTAAAAAGCCACGGAAATCGTACGAAAGGGCGAAGGAGGGTCAACTTGAAGACTACAAACCTCACATTTTGAAGACGTATCTAAAAATATAAAATACAA